TTTTCCAATTGAGAGTAGAGGAGTAGGAGTTTGGGATCCAAAATGACCTACGTGAAAGAGCGAGTGTCCTTGATGAATATAATCAACTCTTGATGCTCTAGTGTCGTATTAGAACTATGGTACTCAAAATGTCAAATCAATGCGTTGTTAATAATTCATATGTGTTATGGGTAATTGTTGGTACCAATTGATGTGTGATTGATTCACCTTAGGCCAGCTGAAATATCCCTTTTTCTAGTGGAGCTGGGAATTGCCTTAATTACTTGAGGACAAGCAAGAGCTTAAGTTTGGGGGAGTTGATAAGTAGGGATTTTGACCGCTTATTTGCTCTCTTTTACTTGCGTTTTAGCTCAAAAATGCTTAAAGGTATTCCCGAAAATTAATGAAATGTACTTTTGTACTGGAACCTGTCAAGCCAAGTCTCGTTGTGCGGACCACACACATAATTATGCGGCCGCACAACCTCCGCAGGGGCATTTTTGTCAGATATTTTTAGCTTACTATAAATAGATCTTTTTGTCATGTTTAGGGCAAGTTTTGTTTTGGGAGAGCACCTGAGTCGTTTTCCTTTACTGTTTTGAGTAATATTGTATTAGATTAGCTTCTAAACATTAGATTTTCATTCCCTAATCAATTATTATGCATTCTATCTTAATTTCTTCTTGTATTTCTTTATTTTTCATGAGTAGCTAAATTTCTAGCTAGGGTAGTGGCCCAACCCTAGTGTGGGTACTTAATGGGTGTTTGATTTAGGACTTGTTTGTGATTGAGTTAGTGATATTTAGCCTAGTTCTTTCTTGAATTCCAGAATTAATGGTTGCAAACATTGATTCATGCCTAATTGACTTAGTCTCTACTAGGGGTGTTCGTCGGTCGGTACGGTACGTTATTTAGAAATTTCAGTTTGGTATTCGGTTTCTTAAAATTCTATATCAATACAGTACCTAATTAAATTTAGTATGGTTCGGTTTTTCTCCATTCGGTTTCGGTTTATTCGTTTCGGTAACTTCGGCTTATTCGGTTTGAATACTAACTAGTGCATAGAGTCATATACGGTAGTATTTTTAATTAAAGTACTCGAAAGTACAAAACTAAAAACGTTTGTTGGCAAAAGTTTTGTCTAAAACCAGCAAATCGAGAAAACTGTACATAAAAGAATAAATTTGATCATTAGAAATGTCTTGTTACTTGCTTAGAGTTAATTGATGAACTTAGAGAATAAAGGAAAGTAAAATTTTAGATTTCTTATATTTATGTTATTAACTAATAATATGTGTATTGTGTAATATAATATATATTTCGGTACGGTATCGGTATTTCGGTATTTTATTTAAAATACCAAATAACATACCTAATACCAATTCTTTTTAAAATTTAAACCAGATACCATACCGAATACCAAAATATCAAATACCAAATACCAAAACTTTCGATTTCGGTACGGTAATTAGGTATTTACCAAATTACGCACAACCCTAGTCTCTACTTGAGAAAGAGAAACCAAGTCTACGAAAACTTGGCTAACAAAAAATTGGGTTGAACTCAAGAAATTGATAGCCCCAATTAAATGGTTGAATCTAGAGATAGTAAGACCCGACTTGAGCAGTTATCACTTGTTTTGTGCAATACCCATTTGGACTTGAGAAAGCCAAATTGGGCAAAACCACTCAAACTACCGAGAGGTATAGAGTGATTAATTGCGTGTGATTGCTATATTACAATCCTGACCAATCAGGCTTGTCCTAGAGTTTTCAACCCATTAGGTAACCACCTAGGTGAAAGTCACGACCCTAGATCTTTTATCATTGGAAAATAACCAAAACCAAAAATATCGTCTCCTAGTTTTATAATTGCAATCAATAGTTTAAAGTAGAAACAACAAACAAGAATGTGGAAGTGTAATCTAAGGCATATTGTACAATTACACTAAATATATACCTAATCCCAATTCTAACTCCCTAAGGATTCGACCCTGACTTGCGTTGGGTTTTATTATTGCTTCGACTGCCTCACTACCTATATTTGTGAAGTGAGTTTGGGCGACATCAGTCATCACACTCTCCCCCACCTAATATTGCGACGACCGCAGCGCAATGCTACTGCATAAACTGTCGGATCTTATCTTTGAATTGCCATAAGTCTTCATATCATTCCCACGTGGCCTCCTCCGGTGATTGCCCCTTCTAATGAACGAGGAACATAGCGGTGGCTTTCTGCCCTGGTTTTCGCCTAGCCTAGTAATCCATGATAGCCTCAATATCCCGATTATGCGAGGCCGTGATAGTAATAGGCACTCGACTTGATTGACCCCTACTCAGATCATCCTTACCTTCATGATATGGCTTAAGCATGCTGGCATGGAAGACATGGTAGATCTTAAGATACGATGGCATATCAAGCTTGTATGAGATCTTGCCTACTTCGTCGAGGATCTTAAATGGCCCCCCATACTTGCGAATCAGATTCTGATGCATGCCCCATAGTGCCTTGAACTATCTAGGGTTAAACTTTACCTGACCATGTCCCCAACTCTATAGTCCATGGGACGCCTCTTACGGTCCGCACACTCCTTCATATTCTTAGCTGCCTTATCCAAGTAGGACTTAGCAGTGTCAAGCTGCTCCTCCCATCATTTGGCCATATAATAAGCCCCAAACTCTTTCCCTCGAACGCAGCTGAAAATGAATGTGGAGTTTGTAGTTGTTGGCATGTGGCTAGTTCAATGCCCCAATCTTTCTGATGCGCACTTACATAATGCCTCAAGTAACATTCTAGTAAGGCATTGACCCGTTCCGTTTGTCCATCCGTTTGTGGGTGGAAACTAGTGAAAAAGTGTAGTTTCGTGCCAAGTATGTCGAATAACTCTCTCCAAAAGTTCCCAATAAAACGGGGGTCTCGATCACTGATAATAAGCCTTGGTAAGTCCCAATACTTCACCACGTTCTTAAAGAATAGTTTGGCGGTTTCCTTGGCAATGCAACCTGGTGAGGCGGGCATGAAGGTGGAATATTTGGAAAATCTATCCATGACCACCATAATAGTACCATAACCGTCAAACTCTGGTAGGCAAGTGATAAAGTCCATAGTCATGCTCTCCCATGGACGCTCTGCAACTGGTAGTGGCACCAAAAGTCCTTCGGGTTGTTGTTGCTCAACCTTATCCTGTTGACAGAAAAGACAAGTATGCACATAGCACTCCATATCATCTCGCATGCATGGCCAATAGTAGACTGACTCAACCAAGGCCCTAGTGCGACGTTGACCTGGATGACCAGCTCACATTGTGTCATGACTCTCCCTTATGATCCGCTGTCTAATGTATGGACGGGTTGCAAAATTGGGCTAAATAGGAGTTGCAACGCCGGCAAGACGTGGATATAGACCAAGCCATAGTGGAGGCTGAATCATTGATGGATTTCAAGCATGACGAGCACGACAAAGGAAAAGGCAAGGAGTTAAAGTTTAGCAATGTCAAAGGCGGGGGAGACCGTGGCAAAGGCAAAGAGATACAACAATACTCCAAGACTCAAGATTACAAAAAGTCGAGTGGCCATCAAGGCTACGCCGAGAAGAAGGCGCAGGCCGAGAAGAAGGGATGCTACATATGCGGAGGGCCACACGGCTTTAGAAATTGTCCCAACCTAAAGAGCACCAGCACCATGGTCCGGGAACGGAAGGAGCAACCGCAATGAGAGAGTTCGGGAATCGCACAATTGGGTATGACCGGATTATGTGGTGCTGTCACAAAGCAAGCTATCCAACCTACCAAGAATGGCAACCAGTACGTAGATCTCACCATCAACAACAAGCCTACTCTGCAATGGTGAATACTGGAGCAACTCATAATTTCGTGACTGAGGCTACCGCAAAGAGACTATAATTGAAGCTTGCTCTAACCAACTCTCGCGTTAAGACCGTGAATGCCGAGGTACAAAATACTCGTGGGGTAGCTAATTGATTTGGTTTCAAATTAGGAACTTGGAAAGGTATAACAAACTTTACCGCAACCGCTATGGATATCTTTGACATCATACTTGGGCAAGCGTTCTTTAGACATTGTCATACTTTGATCGACCCCTACCTCCAACGTCTCTTAGTTATGGAGTGAGAAGGAACTTGCATGGTACCTACAGTGATTATGCCACATGGACAGAGCCAAGCACAACTCTCAGTTATGCAGGTTATCAAGGGGATCAAGAAGGGAGAGCCGACGTTCGTGGAAACCATTGCAAGTCTGGACGAAGACAAGAGTTTTCAAGAGACACTACCGACTTGCATAGAGAAGTTGTTTGAGAAAAACAAAGATGTCATGCCCGAGGAGTTGCCTAACCACTTGCCGCGTAGGCGAGAGGTGGATCACAAGATTGAGTTAGATCCAGGGGCTAAGCCACCCGCATTTGCCCCATATCGTATGGCACCGCCCGAGCTAGAGAAGCTTAGAAAACAATTTAAAGAGTTGTTGGATGCTGGTCACATTCGCCCATCAAAGGCACCTTTCGGCGCACCAGTATTGTTCCAAAAGAAGAAGGATGGATCATTGCGCTTATGTATAGACTCGAGCACTTAATAAGGTCACAGAGAAGAATAAGTACCTGATCCCTCTCATTGCTAACTTGTTCGATAGACTTGGGCAAGCCAAGTACTTTACCAAGGTGGATCTTTGCAAGGGCTACTACCGGGTTCGCATTGTAGAAGGGGATGAGCCAAAGATAACATATGTGACGAGATATGGAGCCTTTGAGTGGTTGGTGATGCCTTTAGGCTTAACCAATGCACCAACCACATTTTGCACCCTTATAAACAAGATTTTCCATCCCTACCTTGATCAGTTCGTGGTAGTCTACCTAGACGGCATAGTCATCTGCAACAACACTTTAGAGGAGCACATGGAGCACTTAAGAAAGTTTTTTAAAGTCTTGCGGGAGAATGAGCTATACATCAAGAGGGAGAAATGCGAGTTTACACAATCAAAGTGCACTTCTTAGGCCACGTCATTAGCAATGGCGAGCTACACATGGACGAGGCTAAGGTACATGCTATCCAGGAGTGGGAGGCACCTATAAAGGTAACTGAGTTGAGATCTTTCCTTGGCCTTGTAAACTACTATCGTCATTTATTCAGTGGCTTCTCAACCAAGGTTGCACCATTGACTGAGTTGCTAAATAAGAACAAGCCATGGGTTTGGACGGAACATTGTCAAAAAGCGTTTGAAGGCCTTAAGGTAGCTGTAATAGAGGAGCCAGTCTTGGCATTGCCTGACTTTGCCAAGACATTTGAGGTGCACACAGATGCCTCATACTTTTCCATTGAGGGTGTTCTAATGCAGGATAAACATCTCATAGCGTTTGAGAGCCGCAATGAAGCTGAGTTACACGGTGCAAGAGAAGGAAATGACTACCATTATGCATTGCCTTTGTACATAGCGACATTATGTGCTCGGGTCGAGGTTCGTGGTCAAGACCGACAATGTAGCTACTAGATACTTTCAGACATAGAAGAAGCTCACACCAAAACTAGCTAGGTGGCAGGATTTCTTGGTCGAGTTTGATTATGTGCTGGAGTGTAAGTCGTGCAAATGTAACGTTATAGCCGATGCCTTGAGCTGTAAAGCCGATCTTGCTACCATCACTTCATCAAGTTGGGACATTCGTGAGGCTATAAAAGAAGGCATGCATCATGATCCAGCAGCCAAACAGCTTATCGAGTTAGCAACCAGGGCAAGACGAGACGTTTTTGGGTAAAAGACGGCCTCCTGCTTACCACAGGTCGGCGGGTCTACGTGCCTAAGTTTAAGTAGAACAACAAGTCATCATTGGTCAGGTTGGGGATTTGAAGCATAAGGGTAGTGAACTCCTTGACATAGCCACGTATGCTCCATGTTTGCTTCAACTCCCTAAGCTTGCGCCTTGCCTCATACAAGAAATTGTTTGGAAAGAACGGACGCTTCAACTCGGCTTTGAACTGATCCCATGTGCTAATAGTACCTAGACCTTTATCCACATCGTCCATCTTCCTTATTCACGATAGAATGGCATTCTCTGATCGGTACAACACGACAGTGTTAATCTTGGCCACGTCGTCCCTCACTTTGCCGTGTCAGAAGTAGTTCTACATGTTCTAAAGGAAGCTTTCCACTTCTTGTGCATCACGAACACCTTTGAACACCAGGGGTTTGGGAGCTTCGATCTTGGCTTGCCTCGTCACCACATCATTGCTGGCTATCTCGGTCATGCCAGCATCGACATGCTCCTCGAGTGACTCTATCTTTTCCTTCATAGCATCGATAGTACTCAAAGCCTCTATGAGTCTGCACTCTAAGGCAGTGATGATTTGCCTTAGTTCCATCTCGGACTATGTACGTCCCTCCAAGTCATTTCGGATACTCTAAATATCCTCAAGAGTGTGCCCCTCAAGAACGTTAAGGGTGACTTCCACCTTCCCCAAGCGTTGGCCAAATATCTCTGCGATGTAAATCCCCGTATTCATCTTCATCGCCCACTCTTTACTAGCGAGACGTCCTCGGGCAGGACTTCCACTTCATCCTCGGTCGCCTCAGTGGCAGATGGTTCTTGGGATGTAAGCCCTTCGTTTGACACAACCTCAGGTGGAACCTCCTCGCTCTTGTTGGTGGCATTCCTCTTCTTGTTACGACCCTTCTTGCCAACAGTATCCTGGATGGTGTTGGCTTGGGTGTTGGTAATGTTAATTTCTCTATTGTTAGCCATTCCCTTAGTTACAACCTTTGCTCTGATACCATGTTGTCACGTCCTTAGTTGTTAACTAAGTATACATGCGGCACTTGACAACTCGCTCACGATCTTGTATAACTTTCTCACATTCTTGCTATGCCAAGTCATCCTTACTACACTCAAGATCGCTAAGAGAATGTTAAAAAAAACACAAGAGAATTGTTAAAGGAAGCTTTGTATTAGAGAGTAATTGAATTGTTTGCTTGGTGAATAACAAATGAATGACCCACTTTATATACTAGTCTCCTAGGGGCTAGTGTGTAAATATTAATTGTTACACAAGTCCTTAATATTTACAAGATAAGGGCTTTCTCTAGAATTCTCTACAAGCCTAGAAGATTCCAAAGGCTTTCTTAGCGAATCCATAAGGATCTAGGGTCTTCCAAAAGAAATGTATGGATTTGGGTCTTCCAAAAGAAATGTCAATACTTCTCTAGAATCTTCTCACAAATGCTAGCCTTCCTCCTATGTAAACTTCCACATGACATTAATATATGTCAAATGGTGCCTATGTGGCATGATGACGTGGCGGGTCATCATATATTGCTATCGCCTAGGCTTATAGCCTAATTGGCCAAATTTCTAAAATTTTCATATGTTAAAAAGTATTTTTTTAAATATACTTTTTAAAATAATATTTTTGGTGATAAATAATTTATGTTTGGTTAATTAATTTGAAAAGTACTTTTGAACAATAATTAGTGTTTGATAAAAATTTTAAAGAGTGTTTTAAATATATTTTTCTCAAAATTACTTTTGGGAGAAACTACTTTTTTAAGCTTATGAAAAATTGCTTCTGCTTCAATTAAAATGCACTTTTTATTTTCTTTTAAAAGCTCGGTCAAACACCTTTACTTTAAAAAAAAAAATTTAATCCAAAAAAGCACTTTGGCCCAAAAAAAAAGACCAAACATGCTATTATTCTTCCTTAGCACAGCTAATTCAGAAGACTTATAAATAACATGTATTCAAAAGTTACTCTTCCTTTCTCTTAAAAAATTCAAAAATTATTCTACTCAATGAATAAATAAATTATAAAATTAATGAAATACCCAAAGAAGGAGAACAGGGTCTTTCATTCCTCCAATAGCCAACTCAACTAATGCCTTAAACCCGCCATATATTTTCATAGTGTAATTTTGTACATAGACAGTGATAAATTACCTAAAAAAAAATTTACAAATATGATAAGTGAGATTTGGTAATAAAAAAGTAATTCAAATAACATGTCACAACACATTAAAATACACAAAAAAAACATATAAATTCTTATGATATTATTATGAATACTAAATTCATATATATATATACATATATATTGTCAGACTAAGATTATTTAAAACGTGGACCCATTAATATATTTCAATTTGTGAGGTTGTAGTTAGCCAAATATAATTGGCCAATTTGGAACATGACATGTGACACGTCCACTTCCTCGTCAACCACTCTTTTGATTTGACGACATCAATTAAAGGGCAAATTATGTGACTAGCAATTGCCCATGAAAGTAGTACTCCTTTTGACCCAAAAAATGACTTTAGGGGATGCTTTATACTATTCAAGGTGAATAAGTAATAATGATTTTTTTTTTTTATTATTGAATATGAAACGTTGTTGTCTGTCACATACTAATAACTGGTTTAAAGTCAACAATTTTATATATCATAAGTTTTATTTAATGTCAAACACTTATTGTTGTTGTCCGGGAAATAAAGCTCATTTTTGTGAACGAAACACAAATGTTTATTCGAAAAACGGATAGAGTCGAATTTGTACATAATTCGAAGGATATGTGGCGTAGCTTAATACAAATCGTAAGAATAAATAGAAATATCAAGTATAGATTGCAAAGAATGCAAAATAGACAAGGTTGTAAAGAAGATGAAATTTTGGACTAAACAAGTGGAATCAGATTAAGAAGTTTGAAAGAACAACTTTTCACTATAGGAGAATATGATGCTTGAATTACAATGTTAGCAAAAAAATTCCTTTTACAGGAATGATAACCATGCCATTTATAGTAGAGGGATCTTGCTTTAAATATAATTAAAAATACTCAGTGGGAGACCCATGATAAATCAACTTTTTCATAATTCCTGTCAAGATTCTCTTCTCTAGTGGGATTGCAACGGCTTTTATCTGTGAGCTCGATCTTGACTCGAGCTCTCGATCTTGGCTTGAGCTCGATTTTGACTCGAGCTCTCGATCTTGGCTTAAGCTCGATTCTAACTCGAGCTCTCGAATTGATTCGGGGTCAATGTTGGTCGGTATCTGGATCATAAGCTTGATAGCTTTACTTTGCATCATAGTTCGATTGGGATCCGAGTTTGATAATGATATCGAACTCGACATTAATCGGCCCATCGGGTTCGAAGCTTGTTTGTACCATCTTCGGTACCCATCTCGAGGTCTTACTTCGATCGAATATCTTTCGAACTCGATCAGACGTACGAAATTCAAAATCTATTTCAACCGTATACAGATAGTCTCCTCGTTTCTCAGGAAGAATGTGGTGAGAAATGATATGATTTTTCAACGGCTCGATCGGATTATAAGCTGACGTTTTCATCGGGCTCGATCATGACGCAGGTGATAGTTGTCCCGTAGATTTAGTCTTTAAAGGCATTTAATGCATGTCGGGCGGTGGTCGGCCACCGCTGATACTGAACCACCATTGCTTAAACCTATAAATAGCCCTTCATTTTATCATTTACTACTTTTACATCTTCAATCTTCCAAATTTCTCAAGTCCCTTTTCGTATTCTCTAGCTTACCCGCAAATCTGTGATTTCTCTTTACAAAAAGCCCCTATTCAATTTTACCAAATCTTTGTCACTTTCTTCTATTCCTCACATTTGAATTCGAAAATGGCGAAAACATCACAAACCATTCCTCATAAAGAGAGGGCTTCATCTTCACAGTGTTCCGCCGATGAGACACCGGAAGAACCACGGCCTGAGGAGTGCATTCCCAGGGCGTGTGTTCTTACTTTTGATTTTAAGGTCGATAAAGGCTCATCGGTCCCTGGCCGATGTGAGCCAGTATTGAGGTACATATGTTCGATAACCGAGAAGCACCTCAAACAACTAAAGAAAGATTGCAATTGGGATAAAAAAGAAATAATAATTCCTACTTCTGATGAAGATATCACCACTTATGTGAAAGGGTTTTTGAATGTGTATACTTACCCTTTCACGTTAGGTCCCCTCGATTCCGTTATTATTGATTTCTGTCGTCAATACCAAATAACCCTAGGTCAGGTCCATCCTTCTTTTTCACGGATCGTTATCTTGATCCGTTACTTTGTGAACAAAATCGAGGGGATGTCGTTCACCCTCAACCATCTTATCTGATTGTACCGTCCTCGACATTTTCGAGGAGGGTTAATAAAACTTCAACGTCGAGCTACCAAGGCTCTGTTCTCGAGCATTGACGGGGACAGGGATCGGGGCTGGATAAGCAGGTTCGTTCGAGTGAGGACTTCGGACCTGATTCCGACAGAAAAGATGCCATTTTCCGAGGAGTGGAATATGAAACGTAAGTGTGATCCTGCTGTTACTTCCTTCTATTTTGTTCTTTAATTTCTTTTCTCATCGATACTCTTCTTTTTGAGATGCAGCGGTTCCCTGGTTACCCGGAGCAGTTCCCGATCTCAAGAACTGGGTACGAGCTCTTGTTTCGAACTCCACATATGCCGAGCGCTCATGGCGTGATTTTTCAAAGGGTCAGTAGGAGGCCAAAAATCACGGTAAGCTCCTTTCTCGTACTCTTTGATAATTCGAACGAGATGCCTTCCAAATATTTTAATAAATTTTTCCATATGCAGGTTTGAGAAAAGATGCAGTTTTGAGGCCCTTGTCCATCAAGGAAGAAACTTTGGCCTTTGTCCCAAAGCCGATGAAGGAAAATAAAAGTAAAAGAGCCTCCGTTCCCGAAGATCCAAAATCGAAGAAGAGGACGGCTCGTAAGCCGAACTAGAATTCCATTCATTT